CACCACCACCAACAGTCCCAGAGTTGCCGATTTACACTTTGCCTTCAACCGAAAAACCAATCTCTATTTCTTCCACCACTCTCAAACCGTCACTTGAAAAGCTAAACTACGAAACAGAAAACGAGGTCAATTTTGATCAGGATGAAACTCAGCAAAAACAAGAGGAACAGATAAAAACTTCGTCCTCACCAAAGTTGCCAGCTTTCACGTCAATAACTAAACAGGCAATCAAAACTTCTACCTCCAGCAAACCGTCAGAAGAAAGACTAAATTACGTAGATGAAAATGAGCAGACCTTTGATCAAAATGAAAGCCGAAAACAAAATGAGCAAATAACATCGCCGTCAAAAGCACCACCAAAACTTCCAACTTCTACTCCCTCAACTGAAAAGTCGATCGAAATTTCTACCACCACCACTAGCAAACCATCATTTGAAAAACTCGACTTTGAATCGGAAAATGAAATGAACTTTGACCAGGATGAAACTCAAAAGACAAGTGAGCTAATAAAAACTTCAAAATCACCAATTTTTGCGTCTACAACTAAAAGATCAAGCATAAGTCCTTCGACGACGCCTAAGCCGGCATTTAAAAATGTCAATTTTGAGACGGGAAAGCCGTTCAACTTTGAGCAGTATGAAACTCAAAAACCAGAGGAGCAAATAATAAGGACTTCATCGCCAAAGTTACCAACTTTCTCCTCCACAACTAAAAAATCAATCAAAAGTCCTTCGACGACGACGTCTAAGCCGTCCTTTAAACATGTCCACTTTGAGACGGGAAAGCCGTTCAACTTTGAGCAGTATGAAACTCAAAAGCCAGAGGAGCAAATAAGGACTTCATCGACAAAGGTGCCAAAGTTACCAACTTTAACTTCCACAACTAAAAAACCAATAACAAAACCTTACACCACTTCTACTAAACCGTCATTCGAAAAGCTAAACTACAACTCTGAAAACGAGATTAACTTTGAGGAAAATAAACAAGAGAAAAAAGAGGAGCAAATAATAACAACTTCATCTTCAAAAGCAACAAAACTGCCGACAACTAAAAAATCGAGCACAAAATCGGCTACCTCCAAAATTGAAAAGCTCAACTACGAGACAGAAAATGAAATCAACTTTGAGCAAGAGGAAACTACGAAAAAAGAGATAAAGTCTACCTCAGCAAAACTTCCGATTTCCACGACTGAATTTTCAACACTCAAAACTTCCACTACCCCAAAATCGGCCTTTGAAAAGCTGGATTACAACACCGAAAATGAGATGACGTTTGAACAGGATAAAAATATTCAAAAACAGGAGCAGAAAACAGAAACTTCATCCTCAAAAGTTTCACATTTCACATCTTCAAAAGTTGAAAAATTAAGCACAACTTCCACAACTCCCAAGCCGTCACTTGAAAAACTAAATTACAACACTGAAAATGAGATGAACTTTGAGCAGGATGAGAACACTCAAAAAAATGAAGAGCAAGTTGAAACTTCATCCCATAAACTTCCAATTTTCACGCCCTCAACTGAAAAACCAATCCCAAGTACATCAAGCACAACTAATCTCTTTGAGAAACTCGACTTTGAATCTGACCAAGAATTCGACTTTGAGCAGGATGAAGCTCAAAAACAGGAGAAACAAATAGAAACCTCATCTTCAAAAATACCAATTTTTACGCCTTCAACTGAACAACCGTCAAAAGTTTCCACCACTGCAAAACCAGCTTTTAAAAATATCAACTTTGTATCGGAAAAAGAGGACAACTTTAAACGAGATGAAACACAAAAACAAGAGCAACAAATAATTTCCACAACTAAAAAATCAGTCAAAAAATCTTCCACCACCACAACTCAACAGTCACTGGAAAAACTCAACTACAACACAGAAAATGAGATGACCTTTGAACAGGATGAAAATGTTCAAAAACAGGAAAATCAAATAAAAACTTCGTCATCAAAAGCCCCAAAGCTACCAATTTCAACTGAACAACCACTCTATCTTTCTCCCACTACCTCAGAATCGCCATTTGAAAAGCTCAACTACGAGTCAGAAAATGAGATGAACTTTGAGCAGGATGAGACTCAAAAACAAATAAGTACTTCGTCAACAACAAAAGCTACAAAACTGCCAACAACGACTAAAAAATCGGGCACAAAATCCACCACTACCTCAAAGTCGTCACTCGAAAAACTCGACTACAACACCCAAAATGAGATGACCTTTGGCCAGGAAGAAAGTATTCAGAAGCAAAAGGAGCAAGTTGAAACGTCTTCTCAAAATATACCGAAACTTCCCATTTTCCCTCCGATAACTGAAAAATCAATCACGGAAAGTCCTTCCACCACTACTGCACTCTTCCAAAAGCTCAACTACGAGTCTGATCAGGAGTTTAATTTTGCGGAAGAAGGTGGAGAAAAAGGAGGCAAAAGTAAAGTCGATGAAAACAGCAGCAGCACCATCAAACAATCAGAGCTCAATAAAGTGGACAGCAAAACAACTGACCAAAAGTCCACTGATAACATTATTGAAAAGGCAAATCAGGCGGAAAAGCAGTCATCAGTGAAAGGCAAAACAGCTCAAAATCTTGTTTCAAGAGAGGAAAAGTCCTCAGCTTTTAAGGAAAAATCCTCCACTTCCAAAGTCAAAACTATCAAATCAACAACAACAACTAAGGCTACCGAATCACCGAAAAAGGAGGCCTTTAAAAAGCTAGACTACCAATCTGATGATAGCTACAACTTTGAAACTGAAACAGCCAAAAATAATAACAACAATCCAGCAGTTGAAAGTCGCAGCAACGTAAACGTCAAAACTGAGGCTTCAACATCCGCAACTGCTGCCTCTACCAACAAATCAAATCGCAAGTCAGCAAATCAGCAAGTCAACGTCCAGCAGTCCATCGAGAATCACTCCGACCTCTTCCACCAGGCAATTGACGTCACCGATGATGGTGCTAAGAATACGAAGAAGAAGATGAAAAAGACGAAGAAGGTGGTGGTAGCAAATAAACTGCCCAGTCAAGCGAAAAGCTACTCGAATGCGTTCAACAACTTCAAACAACGAGTGCAAACAACGAGTACGGGAGGAGGATCCAAAAATTCAGCGGCCGCTGATAGTGCCCGAGCTTCGAAATACGAATCGGGACAGAGCTTTAAGAACTTTGGAGAAAGATCGCAGTTTTTCGGAGGTTCAGCAGCAGCAACAACAACAGCTAAATCTGCAGCTGAATCGTTTAGTGGTAGTGGCTCAAAAGTTAAAAACGGAACTTTCTCCTTTTCAAAGAAAGTAGTCAACAGTGAAAATTCTGGTAGGGCTGGTAAGAGCTCTAAAACGTTTTCAGGCAGTTCAGGAGGAAGAGCTTCAGAACTTACCGGTGTAAATCGAAAGCTGATTCAGCAAACGTACTCCACAGAAAAATCAGACTTGGAGGGCGGCAAAAACATCAGGGCCAACTACGAATCCGAGGACAGTTTTGACTTTGGCGAGGGGAACTCCAATTCCCAAAGTAGCAGCAGCAGCAGCAGTGGTAGTAAACAAGAGGCAGATTATAGCAGTTCTTTCGGAAAGGAATCAGCCTCAGCGTCATCGTCATCGTTCAGTAGTGATGATGGTAGCGAAGTGATGAAGAAGAAGTCAAATCTCGAGAAGATCACCAGATCGGGCGGCTTTACCACGGAGCAAGTTGTGGTGGTCCCTGTTCAGACGACGGAAGAAGGTAAATCAGTTATTTTTCTTTTAGAATCTTAATTTTACTAAAGTCATTCTTTTTCACTTTACAACAGCCCCGACTACCACCGAGGACAGCAAACTGCTGCGAATTAACGCCGAGAAGGAGTACTCATATGAGTTTTAAGTAGTTTTTGTTAGCCAATTTTTTCTTATCAATTGTAGTTCAAGTAGTGTGTGATGATTATAAAAAACGAGTGTTTCCAATGTTAAAGAACATAATAAAAAGAACCCTAGCATTACTGAATTACTCAAAAGAAAGAGAAAGTGAGAAAAGAGTTCTACTTACGTTCAAAAGTGGTTTTGGTCTTCAAAAATTCTCTTGAAAACANATTACTCAAAAGAAAGAGAAAGTGAGAAAAGAGTTCTACTTACGTTCAAAAGTGGTTTTGGTCTTCAAAAATTCTCTTGAAAACAAAGTCTTTGTTTTGATGTTTTGCTGATCAGTGTTTCGTTCCCGAAAACACTTTCCTCCTCGATGAATTCCTTCCCGGAACTCTTCCCTTGGCGCCGTTTTAGGACCTAATTTTTCAAAAAATCGTACTCAGTTCTACGAATGGGCTCCCAGGGACCGTTGAAGAAAAAAATCAGTTTAAACATTTTTCACAGTTTTGATTTGTTGCTTGATTTGAACAAAAATAGAGCATCCAAAAGTACTTTCCCTCTTTTCTTTCCCTCTTCCTTTCTAATCTAATCGCCCACATCAAGGTCAGTTGATAAGAAGACGAAGAAGAAGAAGAAGAAAGAGCAAATTACAGCATCAGTCGTAGAAGAAAAGAAAAACGATCGCTTTTTCTTGCTCTTGTTGTTTTGGTCGTCTCGCTTTTCAGCTCCGCTCACCAAAACAAAACAGAACAAAACAATGCGTTTCAAGAATCTTTTTCTCCTTCTTCTTCTTATCATCACCACCACCACCACCACCGTCTTCAGCAAACGATCATCACATCAACAACACCGAAAATACTCATCATCACTGCCCACCCTCTACGAGTACTACCTGGGCCCGGACCAAAACACTTCCGTCCGAACCGGTCTTCAGGCGGACAATGCCGACCACTTCACCCTAAACGGCCGTCCGTTGATCATCTACGGCGGCTCGCTGCACTACTTTCGCGTCCACCACGCCTACTGGGGGCAGACACTGCAACGATTCAAGGCCGCCGGAATAAACACCGTCCAAACCTACCTTCCATGGAACATGCACGAACCACTTCCGGGGCGGTTCGATTTCGGGGGCGCCTCCTCGCCCGGCCTCGATTTGGGCCGCTTTTTGGCGGAAGTGAGGGCTGCGGACATGTTCGCCGTGGTCCGCGTGGGCCCGTACATCTGCGCCGAGGTGGACCTAGGTGGGCTTCCTCCCTGGCTGCTTCGGGACCCGGGAATGCGTTTCAGGGAACTTTACCCGCCGTTTATGGACCGGGTGAGGCTTTACTGGGAGCAGGCTTTT